TCAGGGGGAGTGGAGACGTGCCCGCCAAATGTCCGAGATAACAGCTAGCCCAGAGCTAGTTCAGCTCGTTCTATGCTGCTAGTATTTATATTGTTTTTGCACCCACACCTATTAGAACAGGTGTGGGTTAACAAAAGCCTTAATGAAACATCATTAGGACCTAAAATGTCTGAACATCAGACTGAATCTGTGTGTTAACAGACACCAAAAGGCTGCAGGCAGCTAATTACTTCAGTAACATTTAATAATCACTCTGACTTTTCGTGCCAGTAATCAGTTTGTCAGGAGAGGGGAAATGAAACTCTTCATTATGTGTTGTTAGGAGGGAAAACTGAGCCCCCCGGCCCCTCGCTGTCCCTCGCTCTGTCAGCGAGTTGAACAGGTAACCATCCACTCTCCTCCAGCTTCACTCCCCCACCTTTCATCATCATCAAAAGCAGCAGCTGCTCTTTGAATCACCATTCATCTCCTCCTGTATTGTCCTGCAGTCAGTGAAGGAGGAGGAGACTGTCTGCACCGTCAAAAACACTGAAACCCGAGCAAGACGAGAGGAACTCTGCAACCTCTGACAGAAAGGTGTCCACACACGCACGCACGCACGCACGCACGCACACACACACACACACACACACACACACTCTAACATTTAACAGCACTTTAACCACTGAAGGCCACTCAAAGCTTCAATATGAGGAATGAACTGGGCTCATTATTCTTTCTGTGTAGAAGGAATAAAAGTTTGAATTTTATCCCGAGTCTGGTGTCACCAAATTTATCCTCAGGATTAAGAGCTCAGCAGATTTAATGGCTTTAGCAGCTAGATTACACTCAGGCTGAACACACTAATTCCAATTAGTTCAATAGTTTGTTGTTTGTCACTAAGTGTAAGTGACACCGAAGTAACAGAAAAAGGACACATTTAGCAGCAGGGTGCTTAAACGCTGACAGAAAATTAAACACAGTATGTTGTCTTTGCATTACTTCAAAAAAAGGAGAAAGAAACATTCAAAGATTGTTGTTTGACCATGTGTAATAGGAATACATGACACGTGTACACATGTGCACAGTGCTGTAAGCAACAGGTTGGGCTAATTTTATATTTGGCTAATTTTGGGAAATAATAATAATAATTAAATACAACTCCACTCCAATAACACACTTTTATTCTTTAAGCCTTAAAAACCATCAGAAAGCGTGCAGCGTTGCACTTGTACTAGTGAAGCACTTCAGTAACCCACAGCGTTCACGCTGTAGCCACTGTGATGTTAACAGTGTTGCAGTAACGCGTTTCTCTGACTCGTCAGCTTTGGATTTCCTCACAAGGAGCAGCATTTGCGCTGAAGCTGAACAGGTGACCTTCATCTCCAGTTACACACAACAGACAACTGGCAGACACACACGAACACACACCTTCATATTTAAATCTATGAATTAGAATGAGTTCACACAAATGCACAAAAGGACAATGGACATGCATGCAAACACACTTGTTTGTATCACGACTTCAGCACTCGCTTAATGATACAAAGGAGCTGCTGTACGATGTCTTGCTCAAGGGCACACACTGCAGTCACATACTGTTTTAAGGCACTTTTTTTAGTTACAGGAGAGCCGACGGAACAGAAGGCCACTCCTGATGCTAGTCACACTAGTTTGTGGTGTGCAGTAAGCAATTATAAGTAACTATTACTAGTATTGTTGAGGCTCTTGAGCAGAGTGTAGTGCCTTTATGTTCTTAACTCTGAGCTTATCAAAAAGAAACCGTTCAACACACGATCCTCAATAAGATTATCACAGCTGTTTACAGCAACTGAAGGAGCTGAGAGAAAAATAAACTATATGAGAAAGAGGAGATATAAGACGAGTAATATGAAAAGCAGAAATAAAAGGAAATCAAAAAGATGAATAACAAGAAAATATAGAAAAAAGACAAGGATGGAAGAGAGAAAAATAAGAAACAGGTGGGAACCCAAAGAATAATGAAGAGATCGAAGGAAAAATAAGGATTAAAGAGTCATTTAACATTAAAAAAAAAACGAATCCCAAAAATAAATGAGAGAAAATAAAACCCAAACAAGTTAAATTATCAAATGATTAGAGAATTAAAATAAAACAATTTTAAAAAGAATTTAATTTTAAAAAATAAAGAAAAATTAAATGGACAACAGAGATGGATGTATTGGAAAAAAAAATAAGAGAAAGACACAAGAGAAGAAACAGGTACAGGAAGTGAAGGTACAGGTAAGATGAGTAATACGAGGAAAACTTTATTAACAAAGACAACTTTATCACCACAAAGCATAATTTGTTTGAACTGTGAGGCTCCAAAGCAGCGAGTCAGTTAGCATGCTACGGGCTGAAATTTATTACTTGGAATAATGAAAAATGGCTGGTAAGAGGGAAGAAAAGATTTCGAGTTACTTGGATATAAAACCATTACAACTCATCCTGAGGGGAGCATGAATGGTGGAACTACAAAAAACAAATAACAAACCAAAGTGTCTCCTATATCTGTAGGATCTGTCTGATCCACGGATAGCTTTGTTAAGGTTTCGTGCTAATTTATCATGTAGATGTGGAAAAGCAGAGATTTTTCACTCAGTAAGAGAAAACTTTGACCTGCTGGAAACACATTACAAGTTTTAAGAACGCCAAGTTCACGTGGACTCCTGAGGCGACAGATGTAAAGAGAGACGGACCCCTCCATCCTCTAGTTGACATTTTTTACTGTGGTGAGGAGAGTCATTAGCTTCACTGGACGGCAGGTCTAACAGACTCTCTGAACGAGCAGAGGCCAGGAGATAAGAATGCCTTAATCTGCCAGTAAATCTTCAGGACAATACTTCAGCTCAACATGACCCTAAATCCCTCAGCACTCACATTTAGCGGCTGTCCTCTGGTAGTGACCCTCTGCTGCTCACTGGCTACACAGGAAGTCTTTGTTAAAGCTGTCAGCACAGGAGGGTAGTGCAGAGTAAATCCACCCAAACAGCTTGCACAGGTTATTGTTTGTTGGCCTGATTTTAAAGGCTTTGGTTGAACAGGAGAATAGGTGGCAGTGGAACTCACTGAAGCACAAACATGTGGAAGACTGCAGATATTAAACATCCTGGACTCTTTCAATTCCTAAAAAGGTTCCTCTATAATGACTCTGTGACCCACAGTTTGGCTTGTTAGGGTTTAGTTTAGACAAGCCCACCTTTTTTCCTTTTTCTTAAGCACTTTTTTTTCTCCAGACTCAGGTTATTTTTTGCAGTTTCACTTCCCCACACTTGCGTGAGTTCAGTGAAATGACGAATCATTTAGTTCTTCTCCTGCTGCTGGTTCTGGTTA